TACTTAAGGGGGACTATATAGGGCTTGGGAACGGCTGAAAGTTTAGGTCACGTTGCTCAACAATGTTGCTGTTTGTTTATGAGGAGTGGAACGGAAAATGGAAACAGCTATTTAGGGGTTAGGGGGTTTGCCACTTCCATGGCCATAGAGCATCGCAAAGGTAACAACTGTGGCCAAGGTTCATGGTCAAACTTAGTCTCGCGGGGTAGGACGTATGGGTCATAGGGTTTGGGGTTAGAAGCTCGCCCATTTTCAAGCGCGGCAGAGAAGAGCAAACTCGTGAACACGATGATGTTGGGCTACAGCAAGACCGACTATCAAGCATGCAGCAAAAAGACTTGGTTTTATGGGATCCTGAATATCCGGGAACCAAAAAATGAAAGTATTACCCGAAAGCTGTGAAGTAATCATTGTCTCAAGCACGAACTGTTGCACTGCCTGTACCTGCTGAGGATTGGGAAGTACTGGCCAATGCCATCCTGCATCTTTAGCAACACAAAAGCGGCAATTACATCCATCAATGGTAGGTACTGTGGATACTAAAAACCCTGCATGCCGTTAGTATACTACTATAGTCCCACAATTCCCAAGGTATAGGGTATTTAGGGTCATGCTAGATGTTTAGTACTCATCATCGTAGGTGTTGCACTAGGAGTAGATGGCCATCTACATCCTGCTTCCATCCCCAGAAATCGTCAGAAGTCTCTACGGATGTAGCCTTTTGTTACTACTTCTTACTAACATACTCAACACACTCCCACCAACCCCCTTTGAAATAATAGATGTCTGGAGCCACGGCTTTTCTTCTTTTTGCCGTCGGAAACGATTGGTTTGCTCCGGCTATTGCCGCGCTTTCCGGAGTGAAGTGGTTTAGGATCCAAGGGTTTAGGGTTTAGGGGTTAGGATCCAAGGGCTTTCCAGGGAACCACTCCCTTTTGACGACCTGTGCAATCCAATCATGACCCCCAAAAACATGCTACAAAGGACAACCATGCTCAGCGTCTGCAACTGTGGATCTACTGCGCTGACTCCAGAAAAGCATACGTCTTGCATACCTCTTCTTTCCGTGACCCAGGACTTCAACAATATGCCTGTTTATGTCCCATCATGTATTATCTTCGCATTTATCAGCTTGACCGCTTCTCCGAGTGGAGGTATGCTGGAAACCCAGGGTTACCCACATACCACCATTCCAGGGGTCTTGCTGAGGAAGTAGAAACGGAGTCATTTTGAACAACTCCTGTGATGAAGAGCTTGGGGCTACTTGGCTGTGAGATGGTAGTTCATACTGCGGCCAAAGCCGTCCGTGCCCCAAATCACCTGAGTGCAAGGAGACTCTGTACATTTTGCGTTTTCACTGGCTATTAGATGTGAAGCCCTGAGGTCTGTCAGCTCCCTGTATTCAGACGCTCGGATCTGGGGCTTCCTGTTCCCGTGTGGTTTTTCCGTGCAGATTCAGCTCAACAGCAAGCAGGAATGTCTGCGCCATGCCCACAGAGACTACCAAAAACTCCAAACCTCCAACTCTTTATGCTGGCACTGATGCACTCGAAGCTCCTCAGCCCTCTAACCCCTGATAATGATCATGCATGTCATAACACGAATATGGGACATGGGAGAAAAATCGTTTTTGCCATTCAGCTACCCCTGACCCTCTGTCCTGTACTCCAATCCCTTGGCCCTTGCCCAAGCTCCTGGACCGAAACTAATATAGGGGCTATGTAGGAATAATGGAAAAGAAAATGGAAACTACTATTTAGGGTTTAGGGGTTTAGGGTTTACTTGGAGGGTCAGGGGACTTAGTAAGTAGGCTACTAATGGGGAGATATTTAGGATATCTATATGGGTTATAGGGGTTATTAACTTACTAAGTCCCCCCCGACCCTCCGAGTACTCTTCCTGGTATTCTAGCTTCCCCCAGCCGATCCAAGCAACGGCAGAGCCATCATCCAAGAGAGCTGCAAAGGCAAAATATGAAGCTGAGATGTGCAACACATTCCTTGGAGCGGTAGAGGTGGCCCAGTTATCGCAGGATAGGACTATAGTCCCTTAAGTAGAGAGAATATGGCTTCGGATATATTTTAGTAAGATCCCCATATACCCCATAATCTATCTACTTAAGGGGGACTAATATTCTTGAGGCAAAGCTCCAAGTTCAGGAGAGCATGAGATTCCAACATGTTTTGGCTCAAGGCTGGTACTTCTAGGGCTGCAGGGTTGAGGGCTTAGGGGTTTAGGGTTTAGGGGTTTAAAGTTTAGGGATTTAAGGTTTAGCTTGGTAGTTCGTTTGGGTAGCGAAGTGGTGAAGGGAAGCTTTCTGCTTCAGACATGGAAAGTCGAGCAAGATGCACCGCGGAATGCAATGAAGTGTTAGGCAAGACAGGCAGGCCATTTTGCCAACTGGTCATCTTCACTTACTACTTAGGACAGCTTTTCCTACCCGTTTTCAAGTCTTTCAAATTCGGCGAAATGAAAAAAATGTGCCGCGGGTGCTTCGGAGGAGGATGCGCCACCTTTGCTGCCCAAAGAATGGTTTAAGATTTCAACGCTTTACACAATCTAGGCTCGCAAGTGTGGAGACCTTTCCTCGCTTGGCCGAAATATGTCAAAAGCAAACCTTAAGCCAGCTGCTCTCAACCCTATTGAGCCCAGACCCTGGGCCGGAAAGCCCAATGATGCTCCAACCCTTGCAGGCTACATTATCCCAAGCCCCCCAAAATCTTGAAGATGGTCAAGGAACTTCAGCAATGGCTGCATCATGCTGCTATCGCCTCCCCTCTCAGGGTCGCCCCAGGTGACAACGCTTCCATCCTAAGGTTTCGAGCTTTACAGGGGCATGAACACGTTCGCCTGCAGGTCTCGTACTACCCTCTCCCCAACTAGCATGGAAGCCCATCTGCCCGCTTTTTGTTAAAGGACTAAAGTCTACATTGGGTCCCCTTTTCAGGTTCCACGTTAGGTATGGGGAAGGTATTTAAAGGCAGTAAACAGGTAACCCTAAACAGGGCATTTCAAGAATATATAGGAGTATCATGGGAATATAAGGACCCTGGTAGATATATTCCCAACATATTCCCACTGTGTTCTTGGGGTTCCGTGTTTTGGGGTTCCGATTCTAAAGTCCCTTTGGAGTACATGAAATGCGTGTGTTAGGGTGCAGAGCTATGGCTACAGAGTTGGGGCTTGGAAGCCTTTCTGTACTGAAGGTGCCTGAATAACCACCAACATCATGTTGAGATGTATTTGAGGTACCCTACAGTATACTTGTACGAGGGCCTTAGGACTAGAATAATGTTAAGGATGGGGCGGCTGTATTGTGCCTTCCACGGAACGCTGGCGCCCGAGGCGTGGCTTCTCGATCAGATTAGACGGGTCGAGCTCTCGAAAAACGTCCCAGGCAAATGACTCAGTCACAATTGCTCCGGTCATCAGGCAACGCATCAAATGATCCCTCTAAAATCCTCAAGGGACCCCTAAAGTCCTTCTCTAGCCCCTAAACACCTAGGACCTGAAGAACATCTCTATTTCGCAGGACCTAGGGAGCCTCCCCTATTAGAAGCAACATTCAAATTCTCCAGGTTGCTGCTCTGATCGCGGCAAACGCGCACCTTGGCATGGGCATTAGGCCTACATACGTAGTTTTTTAGGGTCTCTGTTCTTTTTCTAGAAGAGTTAATGCAGTGGTCAAACAGGAGCTAGATGGGAATAGAGCATTTAAGGTCTTCAAGAGTCACCTCACCAATTTCTGGAGGGCACAAGCACAGTATTGATCACAAAATGAATCCGGCTAGGCTCTGTGAACTTACGAACGAAGATAGGTAGGCATTTTGCAGGACGCTGATGTCATCTCTTGCAGTGGCTTTAGAAATATGACCTGGTGATAGCTGTGACTTTGCCGGATGCTGGAATGAAGAAGCCAGCTTTAACCAAGCGCACCCCCCTGAAGCAGCCCTCCTGAAGGACCTGGTTACCCAATATACTGTCACAACCTCAAACGGAAGATTCTAAGAACCAGGCACTAAACGCTCGCAGCAGCTGGGCACCGTGAATGCATCACTTTTTTGAGTACCCTAGTTCTGGCACATAGCCAATCTACAAGGTCCAGAAGACAAGCAAATCCTTCAAGAAAGGCTGCAGAAAAGAAACGGGAGGTGGCAAACACTTCGCTGCCCCTTCCCTCAAACTTTGATACCCGCGATGCTCAAAAGCCAACCCAACACATGTAGGAGATCGGGCCAGAGTCGAGGCCCAGATCAAAAGCCTTGAGCCAGGCCCTGAATTGAGCACAGGTTCGATGTTGCAGCGATCGCTTGGACGTCTGTCAAGTGGTCCTGGTGCAGTTTTCGCAGAATGCGGTGATTCAGGCCAAGGGTCTGCGATATCCACGGGACATACAAACTTTTAAGGCACCTGCTCGGGTAGAAGAGCTCTAGCCAGAAATATGCACAGGCCATTATCCACAAAAGATGATATGCCCCTTGTTGCAGGGCATGCATCGGCTTTCTAGGTTGGACGCAGGCTCATGCAGATTCATAAGTTTGGTTCGGTGCCTCTGGTGACCGCATCCTTTGTCATGCATAACCCTAAACCTAAACCCTAAACCCAAAAGGATCCATCACAACAAAGCAGAACTCAGCATTCTCCGGGCTTCTATCCTATGCATAATCAGGAGGCACTGGTAGAGGTCGAAGCATGGAGAAATACAAATCCTTTGGTAACCTCGTCATCTTGAAAAACCTTCCTGAAAACACACCATGTAATTCCATCATGTTCTTGATCCCCTCTAAGGTTCTCCCCAC